ATGTTGGGTCCCAAGCATAAAAAACAACTCCACGTTGCAAAGCAAGTAAGGTTTATTTCAAAGCGTTGGTGTAACCAGAACAGGACATTGTTAGGAATAACTACAGGTAACCAGGGAAGGCATAATAAAGACATTCGAACCATGGAAGGACCAATGGGTCCAATTCCCGCTGGCGGGAATAGACCATACAGTTCGTGCCCAATGCATGGGAACGCAACCGTTCTGAAATGTCAACACAGGTTCAGTTCACATGCAAGATACCCAAAACATTCTAGGCAAAGCTCTCCCCCTACACCCAGCTGCACGACCTTGGCAAGTTCAGCGAACTACATAACATAACATACTGAAGGTGGAAGGAAGGAGGGGGAGGGCTGAAGGGAACTACACAGGAACCGGAATGACAATGGCAGCTAGCTGACAGTTGCCTAGGCCTTGTTGCCAGCATTGCACAGGAAGTGACATCATCACACCAACGACATCCAGGCAATGCTCTGGTATTTGTGCAAAAACTCTATGGTAAAAGCCAGTTTTATCATAGAGTTTTTTCCCCAAATACCAGAGCATCGCCTGGATGTCACTGGTGTGATGACATCATTTCTGGTGTGATGCCGGTGATGAGGCCTGGGCCTTTCTCTTTCTTCAGGTAAGTCCCCCCCATCCCCTTGGCAACCCTAGGCTTTGGAGAGTGGGGTACAGGACAGCCAACCTTGGGACCGACAAATTGGCCACACCCCCATGAGGATGGTGATGACTAGGAATGGCATTCTGCTGCTTCCAGACCTAACACTAGCCCTCTGACCTCAGATGGGGAAGGTGCTGACAGCAATTGGGCTGTCAACTGCATGTGTTATCTCCAGCCTATGCTGCACCAGAACCTGAGGAACCTGTAATTAATAAAGTTGTGGCCTGATTCCTCCCAGCACAGTGGTTTGTGTTGTCCTTCTCTCCCCCATGGACTGGTCCCCCCTCCAGGGACAAATTTATAAACTCTTTGTCAGAGGAAAATTAGGCATATACAGCAACAAATGTATTTATTCTTCTGGGCTTTTTTACTATACTCTTCCCTGTAGCATTTAAAGCTATGCCCATATATACAAAAAAGGAACTTTAAAGATATAATAAAATGTCCACTGGATCCTGGCCTTAAAATCCTCCATACAGGTATTTAGGATTGTACAGTATAATGATAAATGTTATTACTGTTGTTTGATGTACTTGCTTTATTTCTCTCATTATATATATTTCAAAGGTGGGTTTTAAATATACTTTTTGAGGTTCCAGAATTTAAAGTGGGGTTCTGTTCCCCTGAGACAATTTTCAGTCAATTTTAAACTTTCAGAATAGTTCTCCTCTACTATCCATTGCATTCTCCAGACTGCCCTGTCGGCTTTTCAAACAGAGGCCCAATCTGTATCAGTGTGATTTGCATATGAGTTCTACTTCCTGGTACAAAGCCTGTTCAGCAACTTACCTGACAAGCAGAGAGAGGCAGAGAGGAAGAAAGGAGAAGCCCAAAAAAGGGAGTGACAGCTCAAGGAGAAGAGGAGAGGCCAACCCAGAAAAGTCGGGCTGTCTTCTTTGCCTACCTGGTCTGCTTTGGGGGTCAAGGTAAGCTGCTAAAGGCATTTCCATCCAGCTCCCCTTACTGGCTGCTGACCCACTTTCTCTTGTGTGGTTTCTTTTTCTCTGCCTGCGTGTGTTTCCTTTTGGATTTCTTATTCTATCCAGTATTGAAGTGGTTGCGTTTAGGATCTTAGTCTTGCCCCTTAACATTTTGCACTTATATCAGGTTATCTGTGGAGAAATCCAGACACTTTGAACATAGAGAGGGTATGCTTCTGCCTTTCAAAGCGTTTATGTTGTAATCTGAAACATGCAAATGAGAGGCCTAGCTGGGCCTCTTAGGTGATGAGACCTGGCCTAGATTACTTGTTCTCATGCTCCCATTTGCTTTAGATTGGTACTAAGGCACCCACATGCACTTTGCTGGGTTCAGAAACACATAGTAATCAGAGTCAAATGTTACTGTAACACACCTCTGAGGTTGCCCTGAGTTAAAATGACTTGAAGTAGTACTTAAAGCAGACAGATCTTGGAATTGTGTTTTACAGAAATCAACAGAGTGAACTCTATCGGGGGATTACTAGGAAAACAAAAACTTATTGACTCAGTGAAGTGTGTGCATGCTTTTCCTTCCTTGAGAATTCTGTATCAGATAAAATTAAAAAGTATGTTTAGGCTGCGACCCTAAGCAAGTTAAGTCCTGTTGAACATCATGGGACTTATTCTACCAGTAATACTGACTGTGAATCTCTGTCATAAAGAGAGGAAAAATATGAAGTGTGTAAGGCTTGCAGTGTGTTTTAAAAAGCTGTTTAAAGATGCATTTTTACATAAGATTTTATTACTACAGGATTTAGAAAGCTCAGCAAACAGAAATGTCCATGTGTGTTCATAGATATGGAGGGCATGTGTCTTCATTGGGGGAAGAGTATGTAGGTCTTTAAAAATTTTAGTCAGAGGGATTTGCAGTTGGACTTATTAGTGCTTTGTGCTGTTTCTACACTGTGCAAAGCATCCAAAACCATGCAGCGGCAAACAGAATAGCAGATCAGTAGGAAAATTAGAAAATGGTTTTCATGAAAACCTTTGAGCGTCCCCCCAAACCCCCCCCCCCACGATGGCATGTAGTCTGTTCCCTGCCTTTTCTCCTGAGCCAGTATCCCAGCTATGAGCTTGCATGAAATATAAACCCTTTGAAGCTGGAATTTATCTAGAATGCCATTCTTAACTGTACATTCTTTCTGTTTTTCTGCTGTCAGAAGCAGTTTAGTCAGAAGCAGCTTAGTTTAGTCAGACTTATTCTTTGGGGATCTGTATGTTGACACAACTCTTTTAAATGGGAATCTGCACAGAATTCTTCATAGCTGATCTGAAATCTGTTAAAAACTAAAAATGGCTTGAGCGCAGGAGTTAGATTGATCTTTTCTTGAATCCTAATGTATTAGGTGTTGAACTTCAGCTGTCAATCTGGACTCATTCAGGAAAAATTAGTTGTACCACACTACAGATTTGTAGCTTGGGGGTGCTACTAGATCCTGGCCTACAGTTGGAGGCTCAGGTCAGAGCCTTTTATCAGTTCTGGCTCATTCAATAGCTACAGCTGTTCCTGGAAATGCATGATCTGGCAGTGGCTACTGTGATCCAGGCTCTGATCATATTCAGGCTAGATAACTGTAATGCGCTCTACATTTGGCTGCCTTTGAAAATAGTTCAAAACATCAACTGGTCCAAAATGCAGTGGCCAGGCAACTGTCAGGGGTTGGTTAAAGGGATAGTATCCCCCCCCCCCCCAATGCTACATATCTACATTGGGTACTCATCAATTTCTGGGCACAATTTGAAGTGCACATTCTTACCTTTGAGGCCCTAGACAGCTTATGGCCAGGGTACCTGAAGAACCATTTTCTTCCATACTACCAAGCCCGCCTGTTAAGATCAGCCTCTCAGATCCTGTTTTCTGTGCCCTCACCTTCAGAGGTGAAATGGGTGGTGACCAGGGCATTTACTGTGGTGGTACCTCACCTTTAGAACACCCTCCCCCTTGAGGCTTGCCTGCTGCCTACTTTACTTTCTTTAAGGCACCAGCCTAAAACACATATTTTTACTCAGGCTTTTAATTAGGGTTTTTTCTTATAACATTTAGTGGTCTGCTTCTGCTTTATGGAGAGTTTTTGGGCTGCTTATTTTTTAATCATTTGGGGGTTTTGTACTGTTTGTAGTTTGTACAGTTATTTGTACTGTGTTTTGTATTTGTAAGCTGTTGTGTCTTGCCATTGACATGTAATGTAAAGCTTGAAACCTCAGGTGGATTGTAATTTGGAACAACACCATTGTACGGTAATCTGGAACACATTGAAGCATGTACGGTAACCAATGAAATGTAAGAGTCTGTGCTGGAGGGAAGACAAATGATTGGTCGTTATCCATGTAATATGATTGGATGTTAACTGTGTGAGGGCGTGGCTACCCCCGCCCGGGAGAGTTTAAAAGTAGCTATGCTCCATGGTTGTGTTGTTGTGTGTCGTCTGATGCTGTGTGATCTTTGGAAGTTCTCGTTCTCAATAAAGCTGATTCACTTTGTTACTTACTTCGTTGTTGAGTTGCATACTTAACATAAGCCATCACAAGCAGGCCTCTGAAGAGTCAGCATAGAAATAGTCAAAACTAGGAATAAGGCCCGTTGTGGAAATAAATACAATGAAATCTAGAAAGAGGCTCTGGGAGAGTGCCCCAGCCTTGGGCACTCAGTGTCAATTTGCTGTGGCGACCTCAGCAGGGTATGACACCAAGTCCACCATTTTCTCCAGAGGAACTGATCTCTGCTACCTGAAGAACAGTTGTAATTTTGAGTGATCTCCAGCCCACAGCTGGAGATTGGCAACAGTGGTTCCCCATGACGGAATGGCTGATTTGGAGGGTGGAGTTTATGGCATTGTACCTGTCTGAGGTCCCACCCCTCCTGAAACCTCACCCTCTCCAGGCTCCATCCCTCAAATATTTAGGAATTTCCCACCTGGAGTTGGCAACCCTGTCTTCTTCCCAGCCAATCATCAACCTACCTTTATTTCTCACTCACTCTTCAGCTTTCCACCCCCCCTCACCTGCAGCCTCTCCCGTGTTCTGAAGCCCTGACTGCTACATCACATTGGCTGTCATACAGGGGCCATCTCAGCAGGATATAAGGACGCAGAATCCACCATTTTCTCCAGGGGAACTGATCTCTGCCATCTGGAAAGCAGTTGTAATTCTGAGTGATCTTCAGCCCTCACCTGGAGATTGGCAACAATGGCTTTATCCCAACAGGCACTAAGGGTACCTCAGAATACATTTTACCTCAGAACAGCAACAGCAAACTGTTTAGAATGTTAGAGGCAAAGGCCTCTAAAGACATCTGTGCTCTGAGGCAAAGGCCAATCAAGCCACATATGCAAATGACCTCTGTGTTCTGACTGGCTATGGGGGGGACGACAGCAAACTGTTTAGAATTTTGGAGCCGAGACTCAGGCAACGCAGCCAGTGGATAGGGACAGGTTTTGAGTGACAGATCACGGAGCCAAAGGCTGTCGGCACCATGTGGAATGTTCAGCAATGTGCCACCACCAACAGAGAATTATTATATAGAGAGACAAAAAATTTCCTTTTACAATCCTAGTTACTTGATTTTAATCTAGGGATGCTAGCCTCCAGGTGAGGCCTGGGGATCCTGCAGAATTACAGTTCATCTCCAGACTACAGTTCCTCTGGAGAAAATGGATGACTTGGAGAGTATCCCACTGAGGTCCCTGTCCTGTCCAGGTTCCACCCCCAAATCTCCAGGAGTTTCCCAACCTAGACCTGGGAACCCTATACCCCATCCTCCGCCGGTGGCTAGGGGGGACCTGGCAACCCTATTAATTACTGTTTTTGTGTCAGAGAGCCATGATACACTAAAAAGAAAGCCTAAAATTTGCTGCCTGGATTACAATGTGATTTTATTACAGCCGCCAAAAATGTAGCCACGCGCAAAGTTACTGGTTTATCTTTATCTCTTATTAACCAAGACGACTTAGCTTCTAGTAACCAAGAAGAAGAAGAAGAAGAAGAAGAAGAGATTGGATTTATACCCCGCCCTTCACTTGGAGTCTCAGAGCGGCTTACAAACTCCTTTTCCCTTCCCCTCCCCACAACAGACACCCTGTGAGGTGGGTGGGGCTGAGAGAACTCTGACACAAACTGCTCTTTTTCAAGGACAGCTGTGCCAGAGCTTGTGACTGACCCAACGTCACATCAGCAGGTGCAAGTGGAGGAGTGGGGAATCAAACCCGGTTCTCCCAGATTAGAGTCCGCACACTTAACCACTACACCAAACTGGCTCTCTTTAGCTTCTAAAGAGATAGAATCTTTCATATCTGAAAATTCAGGCCAATCCAAAAGAATATGCTCTATAGAGTCAATTTGGTTAGTACCACATCCACAGAGTCTATTGGAGCATGGAATAACATTAAACCTTCCTAAGAGCACTGCTGATGGCAAGGCGTTCAAATGAACAAGTGTAAATGCCTAATTCAAACAGGTAGTTTGGCATTTTTATAAGGGGAAGACTACCAACTGAAAAGGATAAATGTACTTTGTGAGTTCTAGCTAGCATACTCTTACAGTCAAGATCCCTCAAACGTCTTAATTTTTTTTTTGCCCCCCGGAGGGGATTTTTGTTGCATTTTCTATAAACTACAAACTACAACGAAAAAATACGGAGGGAACATCTACATCTATGGAGAAAGGAAAGAAAACCACTACTAACTAAAACCCCAAGTATAGGAGATCATTACATCAGCTTATATAAGTGTTAATCTAAAATGCTTACATTACATTGAACATAGTCGATTAAGCTAAATTATTTATCTTTTTAGCCATTTTTAACTGTTTAAAGAAAACCCCATGAGCATCATTTATATCACATGTTTTAAGGTACCATTCAGAGTCTTTCAGCCTTCACTTTGCTTTATCTTTTTAAATCCTCAATTGATATTCTCGTTTAGGGGCAGCCGCCCCCTTTTCTGAAGCCG